CCACCAACAACAACAACGACAAAAAGGTGATGTAACACGCTTTGACAATTTACTTAAATGACAAAATAATGAATATCCTATTTTTCTTTATCTATCTATCTATCTGTCTGTAATAGTTCATTCTGTACAATAATCAGTTAAGGTCAAAAAGTCATTAGTTACTACATTGTATAAAAATAATGAAAGGAAAAAGAGAAAAATTTGATGAGAAAACTAATCAACAAGTTATATACTACTTATTACTACAACTACTTATTTGCTATATCCCTTGACAGTTTAACAATCATTATAATCAAGAAAATACAGAAGAAGAAAATAGAGAAAACTTGACAGAACTTTACCTCATTTCTATCTATTCTACTATATTAGTTTTGTATCCTTATGTTGTACTGTGTCATTGGTTATATTTCACCTTTTTATATAAATGTGCTTATTATTATAAATTCATTTCAGAAGAAGAGGTTTTGTGAATATTATAGTAATTTTAATAGTTGAAATCATGAATCAATTGAAGTTAAACCATCATGGAAAACTTGGAAACAATGGACGGTAATTTCGTCCCAATGTGAGACTCATCAGCAGTGTTTTCACATTTTCCATGTTGGTCTAGCTTCAATTTATTACTGATCTTAACTATTAAAATAAATTTATTTATTTCATTTCATTTCATTAAGGTTTGATATTTGAAAAATTCAGTTGAATATAACTTTGTTTTACTGAAAAAAAATAATAATAATTACTAGCCAAAATTGATTTTGTGATTGATATACTTGACTGAATTTTGATTAATCTTTTGTTGATATATATGTATCCAATGTGGATTGCTTTTGAAGAGTCTGAAGATGGCCACAAGAAGACGGTGAGTAGGACTTCCCTTGTAAAGTTTATATACGCCTGACCATATGAAAGCATTTCGATAGGAAGAGTGGACTCTACCCACTCTATGCCGTACCAAGATATTTCCATCTTGATATATATATATATATATACTGATGGATAGATAGATAGATAAATCTGAAAACAAACTTAGATCATATATAAATTGATAGATTTATGGTATATTAACAAAATCGTTACATTTACCAATGAAAAATTATAAATGATCATTTAATTTATGTTATCCATCTAATAGTTCCAGTATTAATCACACACACACACTCACACAAAAACAACGTATTCAGACTGCATGTTTTAACTTTCTTTTACAAAAAAAAAAGAAAAAACGAAAAGAAAAAAGAAAAAAAAACCCAGAAAAAAACAGAAATGTTTATGTCAGTTGAACAGGATTTATTGACCGATTAAGGGGAAATACAATATAGAATAACATTAGAACAAACGGAAAATTGTTTAAACTCTATGTATATAGATAAAGGGTTATACACATATGTTGACTAAATGAAAATTACTTATAATTAACTTGAATTATGAATTTAAAATCACTAATGTATATATAAATGTTTAACATTAAAACAACATAAGTTGAAATAGTTCATTAAAGATATATAGTCATATACAAGTTTATCAAGATTGAATGGTTTATATTCAGTTGATATTGATTACTTGAATCTTTCCATTAATGTTAAGGATTGAAATTGATCAAGCTCTTATTGGTATATGTATATCCTGTGACGAATAAACCCGATATTGCCTTAAGTCACAAGATCAATACTGGATAGCATTGGAATCCAGGACGCGTGTTTCATCTTATTTGAGACTCGTCAAATGGATGTATCTGTATTCCGGAGTTGTTATTCAATTCGAGACTCTAACCCAACACAATTCACTTCAAACGATCCAATAGCTAAATGGATAACGTAATGGCATTTGAAAGGAACGGTGTTGGAATTGAGTTGTGGAGTGAACATCAAATCTGAGATGCAAATACATTCAGCTAACGAGTCTAAAGTGACATCAAAAGCACATCCTGGATTCCATAGCTAACCACCACCCATTTTTGCTTATGACTGGTATACCTTTAAAAATAAATATAAAATTTTGTTTCATAGTATCATTGGGAGATAGCTTGAGTAGAAGACATATTCAAGGTTTGTTTCATGCCATGTATGTTGTTCCATTGAATTAATGAGTTAACCTACACTGAATATTATAAATTTCATTGATAAAATTAAATCATTTTTAAGTACATTGGTAATTGCAAGGGGAATTTTTTTTGAAAAAATTTAATTTCAAATTTACTGAATAATTGCTTAAAACTATTTCTGTACTAAAAGACAATTGATAAGTCTTTTAACTAAAAGCTTGAATTGGTTTCATAAGCTTTTTAGTAATCCTAGGCTAAATTTGTAGGACAAGATAAACACGAAAGAAAAGGCTTAAAGTATTACTAGAACAATTTATTCCAAGGTTACATACAGAAAATCGGAGGTATTTACAGTTTTCCCAATTCTCTTAGAGTTTTCTGATCTCAACTTATTGATTTTAAGGTTAATCGATCCTCATGAATAATAGTGATTCTGCTACGACCCTTGATGGATTTGTCAAAGTACACTATTATAGAGTACCATAAAAGACAAAACAACTAACTACCTAGTGCTTTCCTTTCGTTTTTATAACAATTCAGCATATACTGCAAGATTAAATATATTACAACAAATAAATCTGTAATCCTTTTCATTAGCATACTACATTATTCATTGTACCTTGCAACTGATTTTTTAGTTGAGCAATAAGAATTCACTATAATTTACTTTATTCTATCAAAATAATCCTAACATTTAGTCGTTTGTTTATTAAAGGTACGTTTTTATGTTGGAGAAGATTAGGTATAGAGAGTTTAACATCCAGACAATTGAACTGACATCGAACACTGTTAATATTTAACTTTGATCGATCTATGATCTTGCGTAACCCTTCATCCATTGTCTGATGTAAATTACTGTCTCAAACCTAAGACAAATTGAACTCCACTGATCATGGCTTCTCATTAGAATTTCAGGAAATCCATCTTGAAGCTAATCGCTAGTGAGCATATGATTGTTATCATTATAAAGATTTGTGAATATTGTAGCATTTTCACAATTTAATTCACGAGTCGATATAAGCTAGACTACCATCGAAAAGTTTAAAGCATCGGATTGCCTTTACTTACTAGTTTGAGACTTATCAGCGGTATGCATTCTTGCATTTATTCACGACCGTGGATGTGCAATGCTAATCAATTTTATATTAGTAATAATCGGCCGTCCATTACTTCCAGCTTCTGATTGATGATACACATTACATCCACCCGTCATTTCAACTGTGAAAATACTACAATCTCTATAAATCCTTATATTGATATTTAAAATTATCAACAAGGATACATCTTGTTATTATATGGTAAAAAACGATGATTTCAATGTATGAAATGTTCACTTTTCTACAAATAACTTTTACATAACATGTGAATCAATCAGTTTGTTTTTTTTTTATTCAATTTACTTTTTAAAAAGTAAACTTCTATAAAGATCAGTTTTTCTTAATGGTTTACTGAACAATACATGAGATAGTAATGCATACAAAGTATAAAAAAGATCATTATCACAAACTGATGACAGCTGGGAAACTTTAAAAATACAGAGAATAATGAGCAACCATTTTGTCTTTGTTTGAAAATCCTTAATAATGGGGAACTGATAACTTCATATGCGACTGAATTCACAATAATCAAGTTTTTGGTGATAAATCACCAATTTGAAATCCAATTGTTCATATTTCTAACTTCTATTGATTCACAATTTAACGTAATATGATCTAATGTTATTTGTCTTGAAATTTTCTCATTTCTGACATTGTTGAATTTTATTATTCAGTAATTATTTATACCAGAACTCTTGGGTGATATATTTTGAAACTAATTTTTAATAGATTATCATTGGTACATACACTAGAGAAGATAGATCCCCAGTTCTTCCTTTTTTCGAAGTTATCCCTCGAATGATAATAATGTTTATTTTGAAAAGTGAAATCCAAACTATTCCTGTCCTGAGCAAACCAATGAAACAAATAATTGATAGTATTCAATAATTTAGGTTTCTTATATTAATTTATGACAATTAACGCTAAAATAAGACCAATACTTGTGAATTTATATTTATATTCTTTTCATAGTATATATCACAGATTGATCCTAGTCCAATAGCTAATGGAAACTAGAAATCAGTGGAGAACTGTATTGTCTTGTTGTGGGATCGCTCAGTAGTGTACATGAATAAACCCAAAGGGGGTTGAAACCAAGACCTTCGGTTACTCAACGAATGCTTAATCTCTAGACCACGGAGCAGATATTCTGTATACATTAGTGATACTATTTCCAAGGTAACCATCATTAAATTAAGTGTTAGCTAATGTATCAGTTACCATTTAAGTTTGTTTACTGTGTAAAATCTGACTCTGCAAGTAAATAACTTAGCTCTCATCGTTTGGATTAGAAATTTAAGTTTACATCTAATACATAAGTCGCTTCTACTATGCATAATGCACACCTATTACTAATTATCACAGAATCTTCCAGTAGAAAAATGTGTCAGTTCTCCCAAAGTTACATTTTGTTCCCCCAGTTCTTTTTTCTCTTTACTTATTTACCCAATAATAATGAATACCATCAATTTCGATGAATTCCTTTAGCACAGAACTTTAATTCTTTGTATACATATTCTATTAATTTAAATATTCTAACTAACTCTTGGTGTTGTTTTGTTTTTCTTTCTGTCTAACTTTCCCATCTTCCATATTCCCCCCCCTAATCTCCGAAAATTCCTTCCCCATTTTTCTGCGATTGACCTCTGTTAACTTACAAACTGCCTATATCACTTAGATATATGATTTCCCTTCTTTACCGAAATCAGTTCTATCTATATATGTACATATACATATATCTTATATGCACAAATTACATACAATTATTGGCACAATTTTCATTTTAGACACAATCAGAATAGTGCTAATATGCACCAATACATATGCACACACACACACCTATATGTGAAAAGATAGACACAATAACAATCATAACAACGGGAAAAAGATAGAAAGTGAAAGAAATCCCAATAAACCGATATTATACTTTCTACATCAAGAGTTATCAGGATTAGTAGTATAATTATTATTATCATTATTAGCAAAAGTGAAATTCATTATTGACTATTCATTATATTCAGTAGTATAAAACATGATTCAATTTATCCGGGATATTTAAAATGATGTATCATTATCATTATTGAGAAGAAAAAAGGAAAAAAGAAAAAAAAAAGAAGATTGTTTCCAAGATAACATTGATCTAAACATTGAATGTATAAAACACAATAGAACATAATAAAAGTGAACATAGTAAACACATTCCTGTTAGTAACCAAAAAAAAAAATGGCTTTTACACAAATTGAATGTTCCTCATCATATAAAGCTACATTATGTCCACGAACTATGTCACCGACGACGGTAACTAGAAATAATGATATTACTCATGTTAATGATGAATTTTCAGTAAGTAATGAGTTATTTATTTTGTTATTAACCATACTTAAATATAGTTACGTAGATTACTATTCGCGGTTATGAATATGTTTCTTATTGACCTTATATCTGACTCCAGTTATATATTGTATGGATGATTATTGTCTTAATCCGCATTTATTTATTTATTTAAACACATAAATATTAGTACACAAGGGCATCAAATATATATGTCCACACAAATCTCATTTGATTTGTGTGAGGCCTGTGATACTGCCTGGGTGCCCAAACTGAAGCAGATGGTTTCCTTAGGGGATCACACTTGGAGCCTTTGACCTCAAACTCTGATCCACAAGGTAGTGGATCATCGTGAGGAGATGCAGTCCCATGGTAGCCGGTGATCAACAATTGGTTCATACGCCATTTGTTCCCTCAGGATATTGGAGCCCATGTGCATCATTGGTTTGTAATCAGGGTTTTCCAACTCCTCTAGGTGGACTTTCTGTGTCCAACAACCCAGTTAAAGCGCCGTACATTCGCTTTTCGTCCTCTCAATTTCATAAACAACAGTAATGCGACGAGAAGGCAGTGAACATTAGTGGGTTACGAAATTGAATAAGCCAAATACGAGAATGTATTTCGAATACATATATTTCATACAATTGTTGACCTGAACAGACAATCAAGGAAATGAAGCGAAGTAAGGGAAATAATTCGCAGTGGAGAAGGCATGTAAGCCAACTTGATTTATTCAAGCATTAATCGATATTTATAACCGAATAAAAATACGTTACAGATACGTGGTGAGTAAGATAAGAAATGTACACATATACGCTTACATAAAAACCGCCAGGGTTGACAAGCGAATAATTAGCAAAGTTAAAATATGATCTAAGAAGAATGAATAAATTGGCCTGTCCAGAAGCTAGAATAAGCAAAGTAAAAACTAACATAGTAACTAACAGTACATTTTTTTGTACCCTAATGAGTAGAAAGTTGTATTCCCGATATTTTGTAACTTAATGTGAATATTTACTCTGAAGAAGTGGCTTGAATTAGGCCACGAAACATTCGAAATACAATTTTCTACTTAATGGAATATATCAAAAAGCTATTTTTTGATCATTAATTTTTTAGACCACTGAGCCGGTATCTAAAGGGTATTAATGTCTTACTTCAACCGATCTACGAAATTGAGCGACACATCCATCATTGTCTTCAGTGAGTTACTATCTCACAACAAACCTGGTTGAACTCCACTGGTCACTGCTTCTCATTAGAACTCCAGGCTCTGGGTTGAAATATCACAATGTGGGATCGTAAATGCGCACTTCCACTGAGATGTCACACAATAGGACGAAACGGCCGTCCAGTGCTTACAGGTTTTCCATGGTGATCTAGCTTCAATCGATTCATGATCTAAACTATTAAAAATTCAATTCTTTTGGACCTAACAAATTGTGGTTATAGTTTTATATAGTCATCATGTTCATATTTCATCCGAATTTTCATACGATGTGTAATTGATAGAGTTTAATCGTAGAAAAAACAAGACAGTTACCTCAGATAGGAATAAGTGATAGTTATATTATTTTATAAACTAATATACAAATGATAATTGATTGATCACTGGGTGGTGATCATTGTCATGTGTGTCAAGTCTTTCTTAGTATAGATCGAATGCTGTTGATCAAGTTGCGATGTGGACACTAGTCTTGGTGGCTCGACATTGCGTGCACTATGTTGAGATAAGATGGTGGTTGGAGGTGAAATGAAATTGTAACTTACCGAGTGAAAACGTAATGTATCATACTTCTCATCAAGTTTATGAATACATAATTTGATTTTATGAAACAGTTTTAAGTTGTAAACAAAGATGAAACATAATGTCAATCAGCGTTTCAGAAAGCATATACTTAGTAAACATACTTTCGTGAACCATTACGTTTTACAGTATGGAAATTGGGTTTTCAGATTTAAAATAGTATGTTAATGGTTGAATTCGTAAGCCAATTAAAGCTAGATTAACGTGCTAAACCTGGAAGTACTGGATGATTGTTTCGTCCTAGTATGGTATTCCTCTTCAGTGCGCATCCACGATCATGTACGCGCGAATTTTTAACCTCTAGACCACTGGGCATCCAACAGTGCTAATGTCTAACTTCAGCCATTTAACGGTTTTGAATCACTGTTTAGGGGTTAAGCGTTCGCTAATGAGACCGGATATTCTGGATTTGAATCGAGCGTGCATGATAGTGGATGAGCACTGCTGAGGAGTTCTGTACTACGAAGAGCTAGCCATCCAGTACTTTCAGGTTTTCAGTGTTAGTCTAATATTCATCGATTCATGATCTCAATAAAATACTGTAATTTTTGACATATTTTCTTAAAGAGACGAGGGATTAATGAATTTAGATTCATATGTTAAATATTTATTATGCTATTCGAAAATTTCCAAAGATATTCATATTTAAAGATGATCAACAGAAAGACAGTGTTTGAATATAAATACATTTATATGTCAGTATAGTTATTTGTGACGATTGTCATACTTTCGCAGTTGCATTCACGAGTTCATTTAAAATAGACTATCATTGAAAACCTGGAAGCACTGGAGAGCCGTTTCGTCCTATATATATATATATATATATATTCGAATAACTATATATGGAATAAATGTTTAAAATAGAATGGAATTCTTTTCTATAATTGAACATATACTGTAATAATCCATAAGGATAAACGATAGTTGGTTATTTCGTCATGAAAAAGTTTAGATCATTTGTAATACTAAACTCTCTCGGTGTTGTTTCTTTTTATCTTAATATTGTTATTTAAGACTGCAATTAATCAGTCTCTTGTTGGTATATGTGTATCCTGTGAGGATTGCCTCGATAGTGCCTTAAGTCACTAGCATTATAAGCAGAGATAAATAGTGGCTAGAAGTGGAATATAGGATGCGTGTTTAATCCTATTTAGGACTTGTCAACTCGATGTATCTGAATCCTAGAATTCATGTTCATTCCGAGACTCTAACCTAAGACTATTTGCTTCAAACGACTCATTATCTAAATGGGTAACGTGATGGCGTTTGAAGCGAATGGTACTGAGTTCGAGTATCGGAATGACCATCAACTCCGAGATGTAGTTACACACAGCTGACGAGTCCTAAATAAGACGAAACGCGCCTCTCGGATTCCACTTCTAACCACGATCCATCTTTTCTCAAAAATATTTGTAATATTTTTTTTTAAAAATTCGAATATCAAAGTGTTTATCTCAAATTTTAAAATGAAAACTTTCTCAATTAGACTATCAATATGAAATAACAGAAAATATCTTAATTCCTTTTTATTCAAATGGAATGGAGACATCAAGGTATTTATGTAGTGTGCGTATATATAATGCTGTTACGTAACATGTATCTGTTTATTTCACCATAAGAAGCATAAATTGTTATTAAACTGTTATCTTTTCTTATGATAAGTCAATGAGAAAGAGCTTAAGAGTAAAAGCATTTGATAGAGAAAGGAAAATTATTGTTCCCATAACAGAAGTATATATATATATATCATTAATGGGATAATGTACTAAAAATCTTTAATGGTTCACTTTAAACTGTTTAGTTCATGAATGATGAGTAACATTGTCACACATCAAGGAATCTGTGTTATTTATTGAAATAGGTTGCAACTTTTTTTCGGGGGGGGGGTGGTGGTGGTGGGTGGAGGGAGAATTTGTGTATTTCTTTCTCTTTTTATAATTAAAAATTTTTCTTTTGACTAACTATTTTCATATCATTTACTACAAATGAATCTATTTTGATATACTATTCTTCTATTGGTGTGATTATTACACTAGTGTATTATGTATTACTTCATGATAATCTAGATAAACCTCTGAAGGAAAAATTAAACGTTAAACATTTTCCAAAGTAATATTAAGTCAGTGCAAATGATAATTTCAAAATTCATATGAATTTTTATAGAAATCTAACTGAATCAAAAAAGTAGACAAATACAACTAATCAATCGATTGTAAGTATGTCAATTTAACAGAAGATCAGTCGCTGTCATAATAGCTAAATGGTAACATCACAAAATGTGAAGTGTAGTTAAATTAATTTGAAACTTATATGAAATTTCAATATAATACAGATAATATCAAGTTATTTAGACTAGTGATTACATTGTAACTAGATTGATAAAATTTGATTAGGATTAATTATTAAAACAAGTATTATATCGTTCATTACTTAGTAGTTTATCATTCATATTATCTTAAGTTATTGTCCATTAATTCACTTTAGAAAAGTATATTTAACTAATTCATATTAATTTTGTGTTTATTTTGAATGAAACTATTATTTTTAAAGTAATGCTTATTTCGTGGTTCAAAGAGAATGTTTCTACAAATCCTGATACTGATAATAATCATCATATGCTCACTAGTGACTAGATTTAAGATGTATTTCTCTAAAGTTTTAGTGGAAAGTCGCAACCAATGGAGTTTGATCCATGTCTAATGTGGGACAATAATTCACTTCAGATAATAGATAAAGGGATGTGAAAAATTATGTATTGATTTAAGTTATGCATTAACACTGATGTATGTTGATTCAATGGTCTAGAGTTTAAGCCTTCGTGCGTGGTAACGAAGATGCTGGATTCGAGTTCCTTATGTGGAATAGTGGATAAGCCTTGCTAAGGAGTCCTATAATCCAACGAGTTGGCCATCTAGTTATTTCAAGTTTCCAACGGTGGTCTAGCATAGATTGATTCGTGAATTCTACCGTAAAAATACTACAATCTTCACAAATCTCTAAACTAATAATAAAACAATTTTTAAATGTACAAGCGTTTTTAGTGAAATACGAAAAATGTTAATGGATATTAATAATTTTTCAAAAGTAGATGACTTGAAATAGATCAAGTGTATTAGTGTAACCTGTAAAGACTGAAAAAATAATCGTAAACCAGATTGAACGTCAATTTTTTGTATGTTAATGATAACGGAACATCTACTTCCTC